TTCCATCATGTTCCTTTCAAAAAAATTCTTTGGCTCGGCGCCTATAGCTCAACCGGCTAAGGCGCCAGCCATGTACACCTAAGGTGGCGGGTTCGAATCCCCAGCCCGGACCCGCCAAACAACAATGACGGCAGCAACCAAAAAATAGCCGGGCGTTGTGGCGGGCGCCTGTGGTCCCAGCTACTTGGGAGGCAGAGGCAGGAGACTCGCTTGAGCCCAGGAGTTGGAGGTTGCTGTGAGCTGTAATGCCATGGCACTCTGCCCAGGGGGACAGCTTGAGGCTCTGTCTAAAAAAAAAAAAAAAAAATTCTTTGATTAAATAATTTGGGGAAATGCTACTGTTGAAATGGTGTATTGAATATGCAGTGAGATTAATAACACATTAGCATGTTAAAGCCTCTGAAAAGCACAGCTGTAAAGAAACTCATATTTTAGCTGTGTTTAGCAGAATTTCTCAAGTGTTAGGTGACCTCAGAAGCTTTTTAGGGCTTGACCTTTGTTAACATCCCATTGAATTTCTGCTGTGTGAAATGCTGGTCTAGAGAAATATTTATTTTTAAATAAGTCATCAGAAATATTTTACATTTTTCTGACAATCCCTGAAGTCTCATTGCTATTAAATTCAGGCACTCTTTACCCCAAATTGTGGGATTGTGGTGGTGATTTAAGTAAATCCTCACATCTGGATTATGTTTAACTTGCTAATGTAAAAAATTATTTCTAAGTTCTGATAATGTGCTCTGCTCTACATGAGTAGGGGAGATTGGGGACAGGGATTATGAAAGTAGCCTGTGGTCTGGCCTCTGTTTTCATAGAGGTTTAAATCTTAAAGCTACATGAGACTCAAATATGTTACTGGAGCCTGTAGAACTCTTATGTGTACCAGTGAGTGCCAAGCCATTTTGTTGACTGTAGAAATCCTGGGATTTTAGAGGAAGCGAAGACAAAATTGGAACTGAGAGAGATGAGGCTTGAACGAGGCTTTAAAGAGTGGGCGGATATGATCAGGCGCAGTAAGGACACAGAGTGGGCTAAAGGCATACAAACTGCATGAGTTGTGTGGGGAGAGCACATGGTGCCATGTCCAGAACCAAGAAGAAATCGACCTGCTTGTCCTGGGAGGAAAGAGGAGCTTTAGTGTTTTGCAAAAGACAGAATTACTATCAGTGTAGAACTGCACCTCATTTTTTCTCCAAATCCTGAGACCTAGAAATATTACCCATTTGTCTTCTGAACTGTCAAATTATGTTCAGTGTTTTTCTTTGGAATGTGCACAACATCTGGTTCTTACAGAGGGTCATATGATGAAAAAGGAGGTCTTTTTGGAGAATGAAGGAGAGAATGGGCAGTAGAGAGAGGCTGGAATAAACACACCTTCAGGCAGTTGTCAGTAGAATACTGTTTTCTAAGGAGTCAGCAAGCAAGCCTGGGTGTCTGGTTCATTAGGTCTGTTTGAAGGGATATTCTTTTTCTTTCACTGGATATTTGCATAGCAGAAATTCTACTGGTCTTCTGTCATGGAGCCATGCAGTTACCTCAGCAGTAGGCTGGACCTGCCCAAGAGACATGTCTTTGACTGAAGTAATTAACAAAGGGCCATCATTTTGAAGATATATGTTTGATGTTATGTTGACCTGAAACTTCTACTATTCATTCACATTTCATCCTTTTCCTTATTGTTAACAGATAAACTCTGGCACATTAAGTTGTGAGGAGTTAATCTGCACAGACAGCACTTCATGATTTAGGCAGCTCCAAACTGAAAGTGTCTGGGGGCTCTGCCAAAGGGGCGTGAGGGGAAAGCTTTTACAGGGTCGACCTAAAAGCAGAACAATCATTTGATTGGTTAAAGTTTGAGCAGTTGCCTTACTTGCACGATCCTGGTGGAAAGTTCCTGGTAATATCAGTAAACGTTCAGTTGGCTATTCCTAATTAGCTGAGCCTGAGTTTTGTTTAGTAGAAACTCAGGGCAATGGAACCATCTTAGCCATTGGCCTCCCTTTAAGTTACTTTGATGGTTTATGTATCTATGAATATAAATCTTTCATTATTACTTTGTAATATCACCTGAGTTTTTTTAAAGCGGATAGCATATTATATTTGGTTATAGAATCAATATTACTCAAATTGGAAAAATTTTTCTTCACAACTAACAGAGATATACAGCCTCTGGGGATTGTGGCAGTAACCTTGCTCCTGAATTATGCAGGAGCCCATCATTTAATTCACACCTCCTGAAACGTTTACCAGTTAATAAAGTAGAGTTCTGATGTACTACATGGCTTACTTTTCCTTCTGTAGCAAGGATTCTTATTCTAAACTAAATGATGGTTGAGTTTGGGTAGCAGCAGAAGAACTTTGCTGCTCCCCATTTTCCTTGCTGCCCAGTCTCTGTTCATTCGTAACAAGCAGTCTTCAGTACAGAACACAAAAGAAGGGGCTTGGCACCCGTAGCGCAGGGGTTATGACGCCAGCCACATACACCAAGGGTAGCAGGTTCAAACTCAGCCTGGGCCAGTTAAACAACAATGACAACTGCACACACACACACACACACACACACACACAGCCAGGCGTTTTGGTGGGCACCTGTAGTCCCAGTTGCTTGAGAGGCTGAGGCAAGAGAATCACTAAGCCCAAGAGTTTGAGATTGCTGTGAGCTGTGACACCACAGCACTCTACCAAAGGCGACATAGTGAGATTCTGTCTCAAAGAAAAAAACACACACACACAAAAGAAGGAAGCTGACTTATATTGGTATTCCCATACAATATGCTATATTTCCCAGTAAAAAAGACAGACTTTCAGATACTTAAAATGCTAAAATAGGATTGGTTTTCTAAGAAGAATGAAGAAAGTCTTATTGGATATCAATGAAGAAAAAGTAAAGGATAATTTTATTATTGATAGCTTAGGAGGTAAAGGTACTGCTGGCTACAGACTGGCCCTGGTTCTTTACTGCTGGTGGTGATTGCTGTACTGTAACTGGGGGCTGTGGTGCAAAGGACACGTGTAAGAAAGCTCCCTGAGATTCTTGTTTGTCGGTCCCACCCCCACTGGCTTACTTGGCTCGTCATAGCTTAAATGGGAAAACTATATTTTATTAACCTGGTCCATATGATTGCCTTATTGTGACTTTCTTCTGTTAACTAAAGCGATGATTTAAATGACTTTTAAAGAATAAATCAAGCAAAATAAGAAGGCTTAGTCAAAACGGCAGCACATAAACTTTTCATAGCTGTTCTACCTACTCAGAACAGATGCCTTCCAGAGTAGTGTTCCACTTAAGGAAAGTTTCTTGGCAAAAGTCTCAAGCTTTATGTACAGAGTGGAAATCTATGGCTTTCTTCAAATTAAAAACACTTGTGCATTTTTATTTATAACGTCTATAAATGTTTATCTTGTTTTAAAGAGTAGACATACAAGTGTGTTGAGACGTGCTTGATAGCAGCCAGAGATACCAGTTATTCTAGACAAAGTTCTCCTCTAAAACCTGAAGACAAAAATCGCATTCCCATTGTGCCGTTTGAGGTAATGGCATCAGGCATAAGGGCTCATTTCCTTTCAGCTAATGCATTGAATTTCAAGAAAATGATGTTTCAGCTTCATCATTGTAGGAGTGTGATGAGTTTTTCTTTCCCTGCACTCAAAAGTGTGGAATTGTGCACATGATCGTGGAGTCCATGGCCATTCTTTCCCTGCCGCTGAGCTCTGGGTTTTATTCAGAGTCCTTAGGACTCTGTGAGACTTGAACCCAGTGATGGAGGAGAAAAGACTTCATGCTGCCTTTATTTTTTTTTGAGACAGAGTCTCACTATTTCACCATAGGTTGAGTGCTGTGGTGTCACAGCTCACAGCAACCTCAAACTATTGTGCTAAAACAATTATCTTGCCTCAGCCTCCCCATAGCTGGGACTACAGGTGCCTATTACAACACCCAGCTATTTTTTTTGTTGGTGGTACAGTAGTTGTTGTTGTTTAGCTGGCCTGGGCTGAGTTTGAACCTGCCACCCTTGGTGCCTGTGGTCAGCGCTGTAACCATGTGCTATGGGCACCGAGCCAGCTTCATGCTATTTTTGCCCGTACCTTTTGATTCCCATGCCCTTGGCTCTGAGAAAGCTATTTTTTTAGGCTCATGATTTAATTCCCTATGAAGAAGGATTAAGGCCATGGGGAAATGCACCCATTTTTCTTTCACAGTAATTTTATAGCTTATAGATTGATAATATCGGAGGTTGATCAATCATAACTACATCAGGAAGGCCAGCTGCTGTCATAAGATCACATATTTTAGAAATCATAATTGAACATCTCAGTTTTGTACACAAGGAAAGTAATTACAAAGCAAGTCAACCTAATATTTTGTTGCCTTGAAAACTATTTTCTTTTTGGAATTTTCTCCAGGTATGGTTTTAGTGATTTCTGAGTTATTAGCTTACAGAAACATTTTTTTTAAAGTGTATGTGTGGTTAGTGGTATGTAAGGATAGAACTTGCTTTTAAATTTCTATGCAGTGTTAAAATATACGAAGATTATAGTCTAGAACTGTAGTATTAAGTGAGAAAAACTCCTGTATATATTAGCATGTATGTATTTACCAAAGAAAATATGCATATCTTTTAACACCAATTTAAGAAAAATTTAAATATGAAGATTAATTTTAAAATATTTGACCACATTCAATAGTCAATAGTGATTGTGGCAATTTTCTTTGATACTCTTCTACTGGCATTTCTGAAAATCATTAAAAATATCTGAATAACTGGATCACTTCTATTAAAACAGGAAAGAAATTCATTATGTATACTGTATTTTTTTAGAAAATATAGGCATTTATCATTTCATGACTTCTTCATGGAGAAGAATATCTTTTAGATCACGTTATCAAGGTGCTAAATTTATCTTATGTTTTTTCTCTTTCATTGTGTCCCTCTGATGTGGCTGCTGTGTTGACAACCCTCTGTATCTCTGCTGCTGGAAAAAATGTTCCCATCATTAAGGAAACCTCCCAAGGTAAGCACTAAATGGAACTTGGCATGTATACTGTCGTGGTGTGCAAAAATTCAGGATTTTACTCATCACAGTAGTCCAGTTAGAACACTTGTTCCCTTAAGAAGGAAAAAAACAGCATTCTAATTTAAAACTCAGACCTTGAATAAACAATTAATGATGGTAATAACATAAAATTAGAATGTTATTCTACGTTTACAAAGCATTTCTGTGTTTTATTTCATTCTCAGAATGACTGCTCTGATCCTCAGAGCAAACCTCCCAAGTTGTTTCTGTTCTGTTGAGAATGAAATGAGGCTCAGGGAGGTGGAATAGCATGTCCTAACTCACAGGTAGAGGAGCTGGGACTCTATAGTGTCACCACCCTAGAACACAGAGGACAAAATCGTAACATCATAGAATGATAGCCTGACTGCTATGATTACTGATTGATCAGACAAACTATCTTTCTGTGCCCTACTGAGAATACTTAATATCGTTGGAAAAGTTCTTTTAGGTAGAGATCCAACCTTCCACCAATTTTATATGGTCCTGGTCCATCACAGTCCCCTACTTAGAGTTGCCTCCTGCTGCTCTTGCCAAACTTTGATGGCATGTTTACCAGTGAGAAGCCCAAAAGTTAGAGAATAGTCAGAGGGCCAGCAGTGAGGGAAATAAGAAGTAGGGATCTGAATGATCAACCCTTGAATAATTGAAGGTTGATTTTGTTACCAGTGAGCATTTTATTATCAGAGAGACTCTTATCACCAAAAAGAGTGAGAAACTTGACCATCCCCTGGCCAATGATACTGACTGTGGCTGTGGTTCCTGAGATGGGATTAGGACAGGGCATACCTACACGCAGTGTATGGTTAGAATCTGAGAGGTGTTGGGTGATGGTGTGGAATCTAGAATAAGCAAGGCTTGCTTTCCCTGGGGGTTCGTTCTTGGATTATGGAAACTGACTAAAATGCTGTTTCATGCTTTGTATTTATTGAAAGCATCATAGGTATGATCCTTGGCACTAAGAGTTTCAAGTCCAGTAAGGAAGGCATGCATTGAACAAATAATATGAGCTCTGTTAAGAAAGAAGAATGATGTAGATGTATAGGCAGTGGCATCCTGGCTAAGTATGGAGGATCAGGAGCTTGTCCTTGAGCAAGTGATGTAACATCCCTAAAATTTACAACTTAAATGATGTCTCTGCCACTGGAAGATAGTTGTCTATATTTAGTTCCTACTTCCCTTGCTATTATTTCCTAGAAGTTTCAGAACAGACTATCAGTCTTATAATATATTTAATTATTTCCCCACAGAAAAAGACAGTGGAATACTGAGCAATTCAGAATATGACTACTTAGTGAAGGAAATGCACTGAAATTAAAAAGAGATATAAAACTTTTTTTTTTTAAACCACCATTGCTTTGTGCAGGAATGTTCTGGTTACTTTCTAGGCAGTATATATAGCTAATGGTGCCTGGGGTTGGCCCGACTAAGTATCATATTTCTAGTTCTAGGAAATGTCATGAAATTTTCAAAATAAAATTAATGCTAATTGACTACATTAGAAAAAAAATAAGGCACATCTGGAAAGCATAAAGATTATCTTGAAATCAAATAAATGACACTAGAGACTCAAGGAAAAAAAGACACTAAGTAGATACAGGCCTTTCCTTAAAGATACGGTATAAATGTGGAAAGAAAGTGGAAGGGGAAAGGTGCTTTTAGTGATGATTATAAAAGAATGGCATTTTATTTATTTAAAATAAGGAGATTTTTTCAACTTGGCGCTCATAGCTCAGTGAGTAGGGCATACACTGAAGCTGGCAGATTCTAGCCCAGCCTGGGGCCTGCTAAACAAAACTGACAACTGCAACCAAAAAGTAACCAGGCATCTTGGCAGGTGCCTGCAGTCCCAGCTACGTGGGAGGCTGAGGCAAGAGAATTGCTTAAGCTCAGGAGTTTGAGGTTACTGTGAGCTGTGACGCCACGGCACTCTAACAAAGGGTGACATAGTGAGACTCTTTCTCAAAACAAAAAAACAATGAGATTTTGGCATAAATAAATGGATTTTTACAAAACCATCAGAGAAGATTGATTGACTCAATTTAAAATTGTTATAGACGGGGGACAACTGAATTAGACCCAGTTCTAGCATTTTGATGGAAGTGGAGTAGTGAATATAGCTGACCCTTGAACGTCACAGGTTTGGACTGCTTGGGTCCATTTAAATGCATACTTTTCATCCAAACATGGATCAGAAATAGAGTGTCGTGGGATGTGAAATCCATGTATACTGAAGGGCCAACTTTTCGTATATGAAGGTTACAAAAGGCGCATTGCAAGACTTGAGTATGCATGGGTTTTGGTATATGTGGGGGTCCTGGAACCAGTCCCCTGTGTATATAAACAATATAATATAAAATCAATTACTAAAGACCACAGAGGCAAACTGTTTATTCACAAATTCATAAAGTAGACATTCTTATTGTGACTTCCTGCAGTCAGAAATGACAAATTTGATAATTAGCATCACCTTTGCCACTGAGGACAACTAGGACTGGGCAAAACCTTTAAAACCTATATTTGAAGGCACTGGAGATACACCAAGTTGGTGAGAAATTGCTTAGACCAAGATCCAACAGGAGGTAGAAATTGAGAGAAATGAACCTTGTGTTTAGATATATGCCATTCAGGAAGAAGCTGCTTCTGACCACTTTGTAGGGGCTTACAGAGACAGAAGGGTAGGAGTTCAGGGCCTGTCAGGGGTAGAATCCTTGGTAACCTCATGCTTTGGGTTGGCAAAGCAGAGTGAGATTCAGCCTTGGGTGGAGTGTGAAGGTGAAACAAATGTAAATCAGCCTTCATATGGATTGCGGTGATTCCAAGTCATTTGCAGGATCCAGGAAATCTTGAGCACAAAAATCAAAATGACACCAGAATGCAGGTGCCTATATGCAGAAGAGATTGTAATCCTAAGTCTTTAATGATTCCACAGTTTTAAAAAAACAATGTCCAACAGACAAAGTCAAAGAAGTTTATGGCCAGGCAATGTAACGTGAACATGAATGGAATTAATAAAAAATATTAATACAGATAGACCCACAGAGGCTTCAGATGTTTGAACTATCAGACGTGAACTTCAAAATAAATATATTAATACTTATAAAACATAGGTTGAAAAATGTTGGCAAGAATTGGAAATTATAGAAAGTGGCATAGCTGATTTGGAAAATGACTCAATAGATGATTCTGAATGTGAAAAACTCAAAACCAGAATTAAGAACTTAGTGTTTGAGTTCAGCAACAGGTAGATCCAGCTGCCCTCAATCCATTCCCAAGAATATCCAGATCTGATGAGCCCCCTGGGCATTTCACTCCAGCCTAACCCAAAAGGGAAAGTGTGAACCTTACAGACCTCACCTCCAACTTGGATTCTCTTATTATTAGTTTGTGTTTTGCTAAAGAATATTTATTGATGTAGTCTGTGTTTGGGCAGTTGTTGAGGTTAAGTCTAATTATGTGGTGATGACAGTGAATGAGAATCACCTCACTGTAGTGTGTGTACTGTTTGTCTATGGGTATGGATTTTGGACGATTCATTAACACATATTCTGAGGTAGAAGTGCTGATAAGGAGGAAAGGGAGATGTGTCATTTTGAATATTGGGTTGAGTTATCACTATTTCTACCCAACTGCTATGCAGGAAAGGTCTCACATCCTTTTTATCCATCCCTGGGTCTGTCCTTTTGAACACTGTTACCACTGTTGTTACCTTTACTTAGGAGACAGCAAAGAGAAAGATGGATAGTAAAGCATAGTGGAAAATATTTTGCAAAATACTGTAATGGCAAATATATGATGTCATGCATTTGTTAAAATAAGTAGAACCATACAGCTCCGAGAGAGGATCCTAACATAAACTGTGGAGTTTAGTTATTAATATTGAATCAGTATTGGTTCATCAGTTGTACCATGCTAATACAGATGCTGGTAATCGAGGGAACTGTGAGGAGTGGAGACATAGGAAGGTATATAGAAAACTCACTGTCCAGATGACATGATTGTATATCTGGAAAACACCAGGGATTCTACTACAAAACTCCTAGAAGTGATCAAGGAATACGGCAGCATCTCAGGTTACAAAATCAACACTCATAGATCGATAGCCTTTATATATACCAACAATAGTCACACTGAAAAAACAGTCAAGGACTCTATTCCGTTCACAGTAGTGCCAAAGAAGATGAAATATT